CCACCTGCAGCCGCCCCCGCGTTGGGTATTTCAGGGAGAGATCTAACCGGGCCCTCGGCTGGCTGCCCCCAGCACCTTCAGGCCGCAGTGAGCCGAGGCTTAGTTTCCTTCCGAGGCCCCCCTGAATTTCTTCGCTAGGAGTCTAGTCCGCAGCCTCCCGGTAGAGTGGAGTCCTCCTTGGAGCAACTCTTACTAAGATCCGGCTGATTTGCGTATATCCGCATACACTGGGGCTTCTCCGTTTTGTTTTTATTGTAAATGAATTGTTCAGAGACAGAAATTAAGGCTTATTTCACTACATCTTCTCTTCTTTCCCCCACTCCTAGGGTGTAGATCTGGCTGTTGCCCCGAGGTGCCTGCGTGGTGGGAGGGGGTGGGACCCAGACCCCGGCTGCCAGGGGTTTGTGGGGCAGCCTTTGCGGCTTTCCCCAGATGATTCCTCCCGTAGGTGTGGCTCCGGAACGACCCTTGCGAAGCTCACAGGGAGCCTGTGTGTTGGGGCTGCAGGTAGGGTCAGAGCCTCCGGCTGAAGTCCCTGGGGCTCAGGGAGATGCCATGGCCGGCGCCTTAGGGACTGCAAAGGGGATGGGACCTGGTTTCGAAGAGGGGGGTGAGGAGTGATGGAGTGAAGACTCATTTTGAAATGAAAGGAGTCCTGGGTCTCCAGGCAGCTTCTAAAAATACCATCTCCCAGGGCTGAGGGGGAGGGGGAGGGGGAAAGCGAGCGTGAGGAGAATGAAAATGGGAGGGAGGTGGGGGTGTAAGAGTCTTCCAGGTAGATCTGCTTTCAGAGGCCCCTGCCAGCATCCAAGGACTGGCCAGACCAGACGGCACACCTCCCTCTGCTTCCTCGGCGGGCCTGTCTCCAGCGGTGTCCGAGCCCCAGTCCCATCTGATGACCTTTCTAGCTACAGGCAAAGGAGCCCATTTCCTCCCAGCCACTTCCATTGCTACTGCCCAGCAAGTATGTCTGTGAGCAAGCAAGTGTGCTTGTAAACATACTACACACACACACACACACACACACGACACACGGAAGCAGCTTGTAAATGGCCAGTGCTCTACAATGCCAGAAAATTTGATTGCACTCGGTGCTCACGGAAGAACGGCCTGTGGCAGAAGCAGCGCGGTGTGGGGCGCGGTGAGTGCCGTGGAGGGGTGAGAAACACGCACACAAAACGCACGGGCGCTCAGGCCGCACGGGGCACGCGGACACAAGACTCACATTCAGTCTCAAGACTTCTTCAGCTACCGAAAGGAGAGGGGTTGGGTCCCCCAAGAAAAAAGCTCTGCAAAGCCACAGGGTGGGTGGAGCTTTCTCCGTTCAAGTTCTGCCCAGATGGTGGCGCTCCATAGCCGCCTCCGTGGTCCTGGAGGGCCCCAACCCTTCCCACACCGACGCCTTAAACCCTCAGCTGGCACATCAATGACCTTCACTAGGTAGAGGTCGAGTTCCACGTTTCCCTGCGGCTGCTCCGGCGCCGGTGAACTCGCCGGGGATCGCTCCGCCTCCCTCGCAGACGCCCGGTAGTCCCGGCGGCCGCGCTCCTCGCCAATCCCACGGGGTGGGCGGAGAGGGAGGGTCAAGGGGGTAACTCCAGGCTCTGAGCAGGCTGGGGACACGGTTGGTTGTGGACAGTGCTGCCTGTGTCCTGGCAGCAAGAGCAAGAACCTGTGAGATCTGTGAAAACGATCGTTGATGCAAAATCTACCACCGCCCCATCCCGGCATCCACATGGTTTCCCAGCTGCGGAAGCATCGCTGGTAGGGTGGGACTCTTTCCCACTTTGCTCTCCTTTCTCAAGCAGCTCCCGGGAGCGGGCTTGGCCCCCTCCTCCTGCCGGTGTGTGTGTGTGTGTGTGTGTGTGTGTGTGTGTGTGTGTGAGAGAGAGAGAGAGAGAGAGAGAGAGAGAGAGAGAGAGAGAGAGAGAGACGAGGGGGACGAGGGAGGGGAGAGAAGGGAGCAGGATCGAGCCAGGAGACACCGGGAGCCGCAGACACTGGAGGAAGCCAAGGTCTGGGAGACAGAGCAGCCCCCAGAGCTTGGAGTCAGGGCATCAAAATCCCTGCAGGTCCTGGGAACAAGGGACATCTCACGCTAGCTGCAAGTGTCACTGTCTCGCCGAGTTTCGCCCCTTCTTAAGCCACGCCCACATTATCTACTTCTCGGTAACGAGGGGCTAAGGTTCAGCGCTCTGGGCCACGGACGCCAGCTCGTTCCCCTCCCCAGGAGTCTAGCCAGCGCTCAGCGCTACCCCACCCCCACGGTTTGAAGACTGGAGGGACCCCTTCCTTCCCCCCTCTAGTTCTCTGTTCCGCCCCTTCCTATGAAACTCCACCCCTCCACCCTCTGCGGGCGGGGATTGGTGGAGCTCCAGCGGCGGTGCCTAGTCATTGGTTCCCATGGATGATGGTAACGGCGAGGGCCCGCCCCCAGCTGGCGCTGGGGTCTGGGGGCGCCGCTCAGCGGAGCTGGGGCTG